CCTCTCAGGCCCGCATTTTTTATCCATCAGGTTGACTGCCGGGACCTCGTAGGTCACTAACGCGCGCGCCCGTGAAGGACGGGGCGGCGATCTACGCGGAGGTGCCGCCCGAGTGCGCCGAGGGCCGCGACTTCGCGCGGAGGCTGAAAAAACTCTGCGGGCTCAAAAGGCGGCGCTCCGATTTCAGGAGCGTCTGGGGCGCGTCGCGACCGACCTCGGGTTCGAGGCCAGCAAGGCGGAGCCCGCCGTCTACCTTCAACGGCAGAAGGGCATCAGGGTCGCGGTCCACACAGACGATGCTCTTGCCCCGGGCCCGACGCGAGACGGCGATCAAGGGTCGGCGCGCCCTGGGCGGGACCCCCATGATCTACCTCGGCTCGCCGCCGCAGCGGCTCGGCGACGCGATGGTGGAGACGGGCAAGCCTGGGCGCGCGCCGGGCATCCTCGAGGCCGCGGGCATGCTGGGCTGCGTGGCCGTCGGCGCGGCAGGGGGTCGAGCTGGCCCCTCTCTGCCCGGGGCCGAGCGGCTGCTCGACGGCGAGGGGCGCTCGCTGCGCCGCAGGTGTTGTGGGGAGATCCAGCGCGCAGCACGCGGCCCCGCGGAAGCTCGGCGCGACGCGCCCGCTGAAGGACAGAGCAACGCGTCGTGGACATGAAGTGCCTGAAACACTTCTTCCGCCGCCTTAGCGGGGCGATCGGCCTGGCGAGGGCCCGCCGCGCAGCGAGGGCCTGGAAGCGCCTTCGCGGGAGCACGGACTCCGATTGGGCTGGGCGCCAGGAGACCCAAGTCGACCGCCTGCGGGATTGCGCGATGGTGCGGCGCACGGATCAGCGCACGCGATCGCACCGAATCGGCGCTGGCCCAGTCGAGCCCCGAGGCCGAGTGCCTGGCCGCCGAGGGGCTCGCCGCGGAGACGCTATGCGTTAAGGGGCTGGTCGGACTCAGGGGGCTCCACACGTCGCTGGAGATCGGGTGCGACGCATCGTCGGTCATCGCGCTTGCTTCGCGGCGCGGACTCGGCAGGCTTCGACACTTGGAGGTGATGCGGCTTTGGCTTCCGCATTTGGTGGGCAGTGGCCAGGTCAAGATCGGGCGCGTTCGGGGCTGGGATCGCAGCCGCCCTGAGTGCGCAGAGGGGCGCGACCCACCTGGCGACGTTCATGGCGCTGGTGCGCGGTGGTCGCGCGCAGACGGGCGTTCCCGAGACTGGTCCAAACCCCCGCATGATGGTCGGGATCGCCTGGTCCTTTTTTCAGGATGATGATGAAAGCGCGGGTGGTTCTCTGCTGCCAGTGCTTGCGTCGACGCCGTCCGCCCGCGCGCGCCTGCGGCAAGACGCTCGAGAAGGGGTGCCGAGAGTTCGCCCACCCCCTGAGCCCACCGTTGTATGATAAGCACGTGTTTGTGGTATGATGCGCATGCCGTTATATAGCCGCTCTGGCATGAGTGAAACGATTCATCTTCAGATTCCCTTGTCAAGAACAACAACAGCAACAGCAACGACAACAAGAACAACGGCTCCCGCCTCATACTTCCTCGATGGATATCAAAATCGCGCTCTCGCGCGGGACTTCTGCACAATGCATGCAGGAATCGCGGTCTCGCGTTGGGCTTCCTCGCGATTGATTCAGGCGCCGCGCACTCGACGCTCAGGAATCGCGCTCTCGCTCTTACTTGTCGCACGAATTATTTTGGAGCCCGCTATCGCTCGAAACCTTCTCGCGATTCATGCAGGACTCACGCACTCACGCTTTGGCAACCCGCCCGTTCGACCTGGTCGCCAGGGCCCGCCTTCCCGACCCGCCCGTTTGGGTCTGCCTGCCCGATCAGCCCGTCTGGTTTTTCCGCGTGCGTTTTGCTCCTAGCCCCCTCTCCTGCTAATCTCTCTCGTGCTCCATCCCCCCTCCCTTTTTTTCCCGTACTCGCTTCCCCTGTTTAAAGGCCTGCACCAATTACGCGGGGCAGGTAAGGAAGATTTGTCTTTAACGGGGTACGATCGAAGACGAAGAGGGCGGGTATCGATGGTTCGGGATGCAGGTGCTGACTGGCACGCGAGCAGGTAAGAGCGAACAGTCTTAACATCATGGTGGTTGTTGCCGTCCTCGACCGCGACCCCCCCGCTACCCCCCCCCCGCGACCCCCCCCCCGCGACCCACCCGCGACCCACCTACATCGTTTTGAACAAAAGTTGGCGCATGCGGCGGCCACGTTGCGCAATGCTTTAATGCACGCATCGAGGCACGCGGCGTGCTTGTTCAGAGCCTCGAACTGCCGACGACCCCGGCGCCCCTCTACTCTTATCCGCAACTGCGGGGTGCTACGTACATATATTCGGACAGCGTTGGGGCGGCTTGCCTGGGCCATTTTAGGGCCCCTCAGGGCTTCATTTGGCCATATCCGGGCCGTTCTGGAGTCATCTGAAGTAATATAGGGGTCCACGTGTACTGGCACCTCTTGGGCCAACTACGGGAGCCTCTTGCGGGAATCTTGGAGCTTTGGCGAGCCATCCTGGGTAATTTGAGCAGCGTCTTGAAGCGGCGAAGGTCACCGTAGGGCCGTTTTGGGCAATCTCGGGGGCCCGTGTTGTCAGTTCTCTCAGGGGCGTCTTGGGGCGCCCTCCTGGGCCATCTCTTTTGCCCCTTGAGAAATATTCGGCCGTATTGGGCCTCGGAGGCTTTACTCGGGGCCTCTTGGGGGTTGTTTTCGGGGCATCTTGGGCCCCCATTGCCGGCAGGTTGCCGTCCTTGTGAGTGTCCCAGGGCAGTTCGGGGCCGCCAGATGTTGCTGCCGTACCCCCAGGTGTGTTTCCGCAGCAGCGTGTCGCTAGAAGCTTCGAACAGTGGTCCATCCAAATGCAGCTGCGAGTGACGTAGTTGTGCGTATCGTTTTCGGTGGAGCTACCCATAGGGCCACGGGACGCATGCGGGGTGCGCCGAAATTGGTTGGGCGGCGGAATGTGTAAGGTAGCATTGGGGCCTTCGGTAGGGTGGAATTTCTTATGGGGGCGCGAAGCGTGTGAGGGGTGCGCTGAAATTGACGGGGCGGCCGAATGTGTAAGGTGCCACTGGCGCTTTCAGTGGAGCATCCTATGGGGCCACGAAACGTGAGAAGGATGCGCCGCATTGGTGTGAAGAAGTCACACGGGCGCAACCATCGGGGCCTTAGTGGGAGCTCAATTTGAGACCACGAAACGTGTGAGGGGTGTGCGGACATGGTGCGGAGAAGGCATGCGGGCGCAACCATTGGGGCCTTAGGTGGAGCTCCCTACCCCTATGGAGCCACGAGTCGTGTGAGTGGTGCGCTGAGAAGGTGTGGAGAAGGCGTGCTGGCGCAACCGTGGGGGCCTTAGGTGGTAGGTGGAGCTCCCCATGGCCACGAGACGTGTCAGTAGTGCACCGAAATGGTGCGGAGAAGGCATGCGGGCGCAACCACTGGGGCATTATGTGGAGCTTACTATAGGGCCACGATGCGCGTGTGGTGAGCGCTGACATGGTGTGTAGAAGGCATGCGGGCGCATCCATTGGAGGTGGAGCTCGCTATAGGGCCACGACACGTGCGAGGGGTGCCCCGAACAATTGTGGAGAAGGCATGCGGGCGCATCCACTGGGGCCTTTTGTACGAGGTCCCAATTGGGCCACGAGTCGTGTGAGGGGTGCGCCGACATGGTGTGGAGAAGGCATGTGCGCGCAACCACTGGGGCCTCAGGTGGAGCTCCCCATGGTGCCACGAAGCGCGTGAGGGGTGCTGAGAAGGCATGCGGGCGCATCCACTGGAGCCTCAGGTGGAGCTCCGTTTTGGGGCCACGAGTCGTGCGAGGGGTGCGCCGAGATGATGCTGTGGGCCGGAGGGGGAGGAGGGAGGAGCAGGAGGGGAAGAGGGGGAGGAGGGAGCAGGACAGGAGAGGAGAGAAGGAGGGAGGACGCGGGGCGATGCGCACTGCCCCAACATGAGGACCCAGCAGCACAGCAGGCCTGGGAAGAAGATCAAAGAAAAGGAGGGGTCCCGCCGATGGGGGGCGGGGAGCCCCAGACCGCCCTGAGGCCGGCGGCCGCTTCGCTGGAGACCTTCTCACGTCTTGTTGGTCCCGACGGTCACGACCCCTGTTTTCAGGAGGGAAAACAAACACACAGACACAATTGATCGTCGATCCCCAGGAAAAGATGGGAAGATATAGGATGTGGGGGGGGAAAGACGAAAACCCAGAACATATTAGAAAATATAGGGAATCCTTGTATTTGTTTTTATTAATTTGTGTGTCCCAGGGCCCCTTCATGTTTGGCGCTCCGCGCGGATTTCTTGGATCCGCGCTGGGCACCCCCCGGCGGCGCCTCTGGCGCCGCCCCTGGCGGGTTCCGCGCGCCACGGAGGAGGGTCCGTCGCGGATCCAAGAAATCCGCGCGGACCTCCAAAAGTTTTTGTTTATGTGGTTGCTTGTTCATGTGGTTGCTTGTTCTTCGATGTAAACATACACTAAGTTGCACTCTCACCCCTGTCCCATATAGCCTACTTCCTGCTCCTCGACCCGCCTCTTTACCTTAGCTGCTATTTTAGGGTGCGTTGCCGGGGCGTTATTTCCGGTGCGGGCCCCTGTGTGAGGAAGTTGGATACGCATGACGTGGCCTGTCTGGGCGAGAGCTGGATACACATGTGGCCGTCTGTTTGTTCTTCAGCGCCCGGCCTTTCCCATACCGCCCACGCAAGGCTTCCACGTGTGGACCCACTGCGTGGCCTCAGGACCTTCCACACCTGAATCCAAGCGCGCGTGTGTGTGTGTATGAGTGTGGTTGTGTTTGTCTGTGGGTGTGTGGAGGTGTGTGGAATCGTGTGTGGGTGTGCAGGTGTGGTTTCAAGTTCCATGGTCGCACGTGCACCCCTGGAGGGGCAGAGTCGGAGAGACAGGAGGCATGACACCGCAGCAGACAAAAATAGCAGGGGCAGCACCACAGCAGTCTTGCAAGATACGACGGCCCTGCGCTCCCAGGGAGCCGGCGTGTTCCAGGAGATCCACCGCGAAGACTTGATGTTAGCAGTCTTACGTTATCTTCATATTTGTCTCGTGTGAGTCGTACCACGACAAAGATTCGCCATCGTGCCTGTATGCATCCTGATCGTGATCTCATCCCTGCTCGTTCTCTTGCTACGACTTCTCTTTGCTAGAATTATTGTGGCAGCTGCCTGCTTCAATACCGCTGCTAATGAATATTTGTGTTATTTCTGCATATGCCGCGAGTGCGACGAAAAGTCATGTGACTACATCTATGCACCATCGTTGCTACTACAGCTACTTCTCACTTTCGTTTCCCTCAGGGGTGGGCTGGGCCCTCTCTGCGCGACCGCCTCGGGAACGCTGAATCGCTGCGCTGACCTGAATGAATTCCACCATCGGTGTTGCGCTCTTCGCTGTTGGTGTCGCTGAAGTCAGTACCGACCCCTGTTTTCTGAGGGGCAGGAGGACGAGGAGAGGGAGGAGGAGCCGGGGGAACACACTTCGGCAGGGATGGAAGCTATGACATCGGAGGGGGCTGGTGAAGGACGGGGAGGGGGGACGATGCCAGAGGAGGAGGAGGAAGGGGGAGAGAAGGAAGGAAGCGGAGGAGAGGGAGGTGGGGGAGGGAGGGAGGATGAGGAGAGAGGAGGGGGATCATGAGGATCAAGGAGGAGAAGGAGGTGAGTGGAGTAGGAGCAGGATCGAGCTGGCTAGCTGGAATGAGCGCCCCGCGCGCTCCCCATCATTTCCCCCCCCCCCCAGCACATGTGCACCAACGCCTCTCCTCCTCCTCCTCCTCCTCCTCCTCCTCCTCCTCCTCCTCCTCCTCCTCCTCGTCCTCCTCGTCCTCCTCGTTCCCCTTCAGAGATGGGGCTTGGGCATGCTTCCCTTGGGCGGAAGGCGTTCCCGCGCGCGCGCGGCCCTGCTGCGACGCACTCGGCGAAGAACCAGCATCGGAAGACTCGGCGAGCGAACAACACCTCCGCCGCTGGCCAAGGCCCATCCGGGGCCCAGGATGGGCGCATGCGCCCCCCCCTGCCTTGGCCAGGGAGGCGCCTTCACCGATGCCCGGGCCCACGAACATGCCTGCCCGGCGGGGGGCTGCCCTGAAGCAGGCGCTGCGTCCCAGCGGGAACGGAACCCGTGGCGAGGATGTATTCGACTTGGCACGGCAGCTTCCATCCCGCTTGCGGGCTCGCCCGCTTGCGGGCTCGCTCGTCAGCCATCCCGGTTCAGGCCTCGAGGGCTGCCAGGTCCCTTCAGGGGCAGCGGCGCCAGCGTGGGCAGGGGGGTCCATGACGAAGCTCAGCATCGTCCTGAAGCAGGATGAGGTCCTCACGAGACTCGCCAGACATTCCCCAGCCGTACTGGCGATCGTTGGGGGAAAGGTACCGACAACGCTACGATTCCCTCGGCACCACGCCTGGATGTGCCTCGAAATCCTGTTCAGAACGCACTCCTGGAGAGGGCCGTGGAGTAGCGATCTCGGTTTATGCTGGTTCCTTCAGGTAAAGATGCGCAGGACCTCTAGGCTGTTCGTGTGGCGCCTTGACGACGCACGTATGCACCGATTGCAGCAGCAGCTGATCGACGAGCTCCAGCTGGTCTTCCAGGATTCGAATCATAACAGTATGTGTAAACAAAGCATGTTTGCCAGAGTGGGCCCCAAGAAGGAAGTTCTTGCATCGTGGATGTGTAGGCCATGTGGTACTGTGAGCTCGGCGGTGCAACATATCGAAAGTGCAGGCCAGGTTGTGCAAGCGATGCGTGGCAGCGTACGCGGTGCAAGCCCTGTGGTGTAGACTGCGTGGTGTAAGCTATATGCGGCACGAGCCATGTGGTACAAACTGCGCGGTGCAGACCGCCTGGTGCAGAGCACGCGGTGCACGCCGGGCGACACCTCGGCACGCCCGCCCAGCGCACGAGGCGCCCACGAGGCGCCCACCGGCGCCCGAGATCTGGCGCCAGGCGAGACCTCGGCTGGCCCCAGGCTTGGCATCGCTCGGACGTGTGCATGTTTCCCTCGGCGAGGACCATCGAGGAGCATCCTTCATCATTTGGCGAGAAAGCCACGCACGGAACCGAGCAAAAACACGGGGAATCGTCCGAGCGATGGCCAGCAGGCGCCCACGGGCGGGCACCGGACGCAGCCTCGGCTGGCCCAAGCAGCGCGCGCCCGACGCCCACAGGGCGCCCACGGGTGGTTACCGAGCGAAGCGTCTGTCGACCCATCACGTTTTGTTGGGTGAGCGAGAGATCATGCCGAAGGTGCAGGCACTGTTTGGGGAATGAACTCTGGGAGATCCACTTCAACACCTTGGATCTGCGCTGGAACGCCCTGGCGACGCCTCCAGCGCCGCCCCTGGGGCCTCCGCGCGCGAGGGAGGGGGACCCGCGCCGATTCAAGAAATCCAGGCGGACCTCCGACAGCCAATGTCTGTGCAGATTTGCCTTCCTCCAAGGACCTGCACGACCTGTGCGAGCGCGGGGAGGCGGAGTGCATATGGCTCCTGATCGCTCAGGGGATGAGCGTCAAGGCATGCCGGAATTCTCGAAGGGCTCCTTTTCGAGAATCGAGCGCTGCCCCCATCAGGGATCGGGGTCTTCAGAGGTTTGTGATACTCTTTGGGACTCCCGGAGCCTCCGCGGCGGGACGCTTCTTTGAACTCCTGGGTGGCATATTATTATTTGTTTAAAAATGGTGTTTCGCTATTTCCCATGGGCTCGAGATGTTTGTTGAGCCCCTCTCTGGAAAAGATCTCGCGGGCTTCTCCGTAGGCTGCTCTGTTGCGTTTCTGGGACGCCGAGCTCATTAGGGCAGAGGAACTACCCTCACAGTGAGCATCCCAATCAGGTGACTCTTTTGAGTGAGCGCACCCAAGGAAGGCGTCAAAAGAGCAGGGCTGATTAGCAAACGCCCAGGACTGTTTGGCAAGCGCAGGTCGTAAGGGTCGGGGTGCTGTTTCCTTACTCGATCTTCGTTGCCCCATGGATGCCAACTAGCCACCACAGGTGCGGGACCCAGAGAGCCACACGCTTCTCCAGAAGGCGACCCACAGCTGCAGGACCCCCGTGATCAAGTTGCTGGTGGAGAAAGGCGCCAACGTGAACGCGAAGGGCGCCTACGGCTACACGCCGCTGCACGAGGCGTGCTACATCGGGAGCATGGACGTGGTGAGCTACCTCCTCAGCGTCAAGGCAGGGTCATTTCCGATCCGGTGTATCCGATTCGATGTCGATTCCAGCCGGCCCGATCCGATTCGTTTCCATTCATCCAGCGATGCGATGCGGCCCGATACTTGCTCTGCGATGCCCTGCTTCCGTCGCAGCCGATCCGATTCGAATTCGGCTCCGTGCCGATGCGGCCCGACCCGACGCACACTGTGACCAGATCCGAGTTCCCGAGCCGCTGCAAAACTGAACCTGCCCTCCCCTCCCTCCTCCTCCTTCCTCCCCCTCCTCCTCCTCCTCCTCCTCCTCCTCCTCCTCCTCCTCCCCTCCTCCTCCTCCTCCTCCCTCCTCCCTCCTCCCTCCTCCTCCTCCCTCCCTCCTCCTCCTCCTCCCCTCCCTCCTCCTCCCTCCTCCTACCTCCTCCTCCCTCCTCCTCCTCCCCTCCTCCCTCCTCCTCCTCCTCCTCCTCCTCCTCCTCCGCCTCCTCCTCTTCCTCCCTCCTCCTCCTCCCCCCCCCCCTGGGAGGGCGAGTTGCAACTTCTGGGAGGTTCCATTCAGCATCGGCGTTGGCACGTCCACGGTCGAAAACTGGCCAAATCTGGCATGCGTACTCCCTATCAATCCGACTCAGCGCCGCCTTACCATCCAGCTTCACTCGGTTGAATTCCCAGGCCTGCTCCGGTTGACTGGCCCTGCGGCCTTCGGAGAAGACCTCTGGCGTTCTGAGAATCACCTGAGACTCAGGGGGGCAAGGCACACAGACACGAAGGGGAGCGGAGGGGAAGACGAACTTCCAGAAAACATCTGCACATGCAGGGTTATAATGTTCCAACCTACTTTAGCCTTGAGCACCCGAAAGAATTCCGAGCACCAAGAATGTACCGAAATTGGGGGTTCACGTGTCGGGCCTTGGGAGGCGATACTCGTTCGACACTGTTTCGGCACGCCTCTGGGTGCTCGAAACTATTTCTGGGCTGTGGTCCTTGAGTACGATGGGAGCTACATACATGTAGGGGAGTCTTGGGACGTGTGCCTATCTCTCTATGTGTCCCTGGATCCCTTCCGTCTTCGGAGGAGGCTCCGCAAACAGCTGCTCGGAGGGCCTGGGGCTGCCGTGCCTGCACAAAGCCCGCCCCCCCACCCCCCGCCAGGACCCCCAGGGAGGAGGGGGGGAGAAGAAGAGAGCGGTTAAGTCGGGCATGTCCCTCTTCACAGGGGGAACATTCAACCATAGTCAACACACAGTGTGGGGACGAGTTTTCTGCCATTTCCGTTCCGTTCTGGGTGTTTTTACACATGTCTTCAATTTGTCCTCCAAAAACTGCCTGTAGGAGGACATGCCCGACCTAAGAGAGCGGACGACACACAATCAGAACACCCTGAACTTGGTTGTCTTGGGCAAGCGAATTCTCATCGCTTCGGGATACAAGCCGTTTCGGGAGGTAGAATACCAATCAACTCCCGACCTGGTGATCCAGGAGGTCCAGGCTGGGAGTGGGGGCGGGGTTTTCTGGCCCCCGAGAGCCCACAAAAGCCACACCCACCCCTGGAGCACCAGGTATCACCAGGTCGGGAGTGAGGGTCGTGGCTGGGGGTGGGGGTGGGTTGTGCTCGCTGTCCTCATGAGAAGGCCCGCCCCCTCTGTGTTCCACCCTTGGTCTCGCCGAAGAGATCCGATGCTGACCTATTCTGGAAGGCAAGGACCGATAACAACGCTTTTTAGTTTTGTTTGGGCCCTTGTTGTGTTGTTCGTTTCGTTGTTCGTTGTTGTGTCGTGTCGTTGTTCGTTGTTGCTTTAAACACGCTGTCTCGTCGTTCGTTTCGTTTGGCACCGGCCTCTTTCTAAACGTTCGTGTGTCACGTTGGGCATCGCTTCGTTGTTAGCTGTAAGCGCCATGTCGATGTAAGTCTCGTTGCGGCCGGTCCCAGCATTCTGGCAGGCGAACGTCGACGCTCTCAGCAAAAACGGCTCCACCCCGCTGCTGGTCTCGGCCCGGGAGGGCCACACCGCCGTCTGCGAGTCGCTGCTCCGAGCCAACGCGGACGCGGACGACGGGGGCGACAAGGGTCTCCCGGGCAGCCCAAAGCTCGACCACACGCAAGAGTGGCCCTTTTCGCGGGGGTGACCTTTGGGTGCGGCCCCACCGGGGTCCCCCCGATCGCCGAACGCGGTGGGATAGTAGCGTCTTGCGCGCTTGTGTTTGGGCCCCCCCCGGCTCTAAAACGACGCGAAGATCGGGACAAAATCGGATCGGGATAATTCGAAATCTCTGAGAATCGGCTGGTTTGGAGGATGTATTGGGTGGGCGCCGCGGCCGCTCCAGAGCGTTCCGGAACGCTCTGAGAGCGCTCCGGAACGCTCTGGAGCGATTTATCCCGATCCTAGCCCTGTTTTAGGCCTCCCAAGAGCCGCGCACCAAGGGCCACTCTTGCCCAGGGTCCGTCGTGCGTGCAGCAGACAGGCGTCTCTTGGCAGTGCGACTGCTGCCTCCTTCCGCCCCTCCTCTCCCGACGTGGGGCGCTCCGGAAAGGGCCTCCCCCTTGGAGGATCGAAGAGGTAAGCGTGGTGGAGGACGATCAATGGAGAGGAAGCATGTTGCCAAAGAATTTCCAGATGTCTAAACATGTGTTAAAACTGTTTTAGAAAAGTAAAAAAACATGCCTAAAAAATGTTCAGGACATGTTTTCGACATGTGAAACACAAATTTCTAATTCGATGATAGGACTGTCAGGGTGCCCATTGCCGTGGCATCCGCAAAGTTAGCGTCTCTTCCTCGGCGGGGGTGGCATCTCGCTCTCGGCGGAGGGCGGCGAAGCCGGCGGGAGGCGGTGGAAGCAGAACGCGGCGGCGGGGGCGGGGGGCCCCGCTGGCGGAAGCCGGCGGATGGCGGGCGGAACGTGCGCCCCGAGGGGGTGTCAACATGTGTCTGCACGCACGAAATGGGTACAATGCCCAACAGCAGCCCCTGTTGGGGCCCGCGAGGCGGTTGGGCCACTGGGGGGCAACGTTAAGGGGGCCAGGGGCACACAAAGAAATACACACACACACACACGGAGGAGGAGGAGGAGGAGGAGGAGGAGGAGGAGAAGGAGGAGGAGGAGGAGGAGGAGGAGGAGGAGGAGGAGGAGGAGGAGGAGGAGGAGAAAGAAGAGAAGGAACCCCAGGATTCCCCGTACTTCGCTCGCTGTCCACGCCGCGGCGGCCTGTGTCCATTCGAGACAGGAGGCCGCCTGCCCAACAGCGGCCGCTGTTGGTTTGGGACAACAGTTGCTGTTGGGCATGGTACCCATTCTTTCGGTACCCATGTCGGGCGTCCAAAATGCGGGGTCAGGGCTAGGTTTGTGGAGGACGATCAACGGAGAGGAAGCATGTTGCCGAATGATTTCCAGATGTCTAAGAGATGTTCCGAACGTGTTTAACATATATGTAAAAACATGGTTGATACATGTTTAGAACATGGCTTACGCATTTTAAACACATCTTTGATTCAATGATAGGAGTGTCAGAGTGTCCATTGTCATGGCATCCACAAGGTTAAGTCGGGCACATCCCTCTACAGGAGGAACCTTCGAAAAAAGTCAAACAATAGCCTGGGGACGATTGTTCTTTTATTTTTTATCATTTCTGAGCAGGTTTTGCTGTTTTCCTGTTTTTCTTCGAAAAGTCCGCCTGTGGGAGGACATGCCCGACCTAATTTGGGGATCAGGGATTCCTGAACCGGCCACGTGCCAACGTAAAGTTGGGCCCTTTACGTCTGGGAATCAGAGTATTTCTTTCTTTCTGAAGCGACAGCCGCAAGCAAGGGCGCACACAGCGGCACCGTGCAAGTAACGTCTTCTGGGTGGGAAATTAATCGAGGGGCGGGCGACTGAACTTCCGACGGAGCTTGCCCATCCACCCCCCCTCCTCCTCCTCCTCCTCCTCCTCCTCCTCCTCCTCCTCCTCCTCCTCCTCCTCCTCCTCCTCCTCCTCCTCCTCCTCCTCCTCCTCCCTCCTCCTCCTCCTCCTCCTCCTCCTCCTCTCTCCTCTCCTCCTCCTCCTCCTCCTCCTCCTCCTCCTCCTCCCTCCTCCTCCTCCTCCTCCTCCTCCTCCTCTCCTCCTCCTCCTCCTCCCTCCTCCTCCTCCTCCTCCTCCTCCTCCTCCTCCTCCTCCTCCTCCTCCTCCTCCTCCTCCTCCTCCTCCTCCTCCTCCTCCTCCTCCTCCTCCTCCTCCCCCCCCCCCCCCTCCCCCCTCCCCTCCTCTTCTCCTCCTCCTCCTCTCCTCCTCCTCCTCCTCCTCCTCCTCCTCCTCCTCCTACTCCCCCCTCCTCCACCCCCCCCCCCTCCCCCTCCACCCGTTCCGACAGCACGTGCCCAACACCCCCAGCGGATCCAAGGGTGGGGGGAGTATTGCCCCATCCAGAGTACGGCCACGGGCAAGGAAGCAAAATCAAAGCCGACCATGGCTGGCCACACGGGTAAAAAACATACGCATGTAATATTGGAGCTCCGCGCGGATTTTTCTCGGATCGGCGCTGCGCTGTGGGCGCGGATCCACGATGTCCGCGCGGACCTCGGGAAGTCTACGTTTACGCCGTCGCTCAGCCTCGTGGCAAGATCAAAAGCACCCCCACCCGTCCACCCGCCCTCCTCAAATCTTTCCTTGCCATCCCTTAGCCGCCTCGGTCGGTATTTGTCGGCCCTCCAGGGCCATGGGGTGTGCTCGCTGTTCGTGGCCAGTCTGTCGGTCCGTCAATCGCTGCACCCTCCCCCCCCCCTCTCTTCCTTCTTCTGCGGACTGGGGTGGATCCTTTCCTTCCATCTCCTCTCCCTCGCACAAAGGGTGGGGGGGGGCAGGGGGGGCAGGGGACCTCGGGATGACTCGACCCCGTCCCTGGGGCCGACTCTGCCTCCTGAGGTCCTAAGCCGCTGCTGTTGCCTGCCGCCTGGCCCTGTATGGGGCCCCGAGAGATGCCGCGACGGAACATGAGAGTCGGTCAAGACCTGCTCCACGATGCGAGGGGAGCCGGGTCCTCACCTCTCTCTCTCTCCTGTCCCCCCCCCCCCCTTCCCAGGGCAGGGCTGCTCAGCTCACGGTCCGGTTCGATCCGGCCCGACCTCCGAGCTCCGACCCCGATTCCCGATCCGGCCCGCTCCGACACGAGCCGCCTCCCTGGGCTACAGATGCCGAGCCCGAGCCGCGATCCCGAACGGTCAGTTCCCGATCCGATTCGGCGCCGATTCAGGCGTGATCCGAGCGGTTTCCGCCGATCCGATCCGAACTCGCGAGTCGATCCAGCTGAGGCATTCAAGAAAGCGCCTCGTCTTCGAGAGCCGAAGGAGTTGCTGTCTCTTCTTCGGCGGAAGGCGGCGGAATTATAACGAGGCCTCGGCGGCTCAAGGCGCCGTTTCTTTCCGCAGGGGAGCGGGGGGTCGCAATTCCTTCCTTGGCCGTGGCACCGATCGCACCAAGCTTTGCCAGCCATGTGCGTTGCCCATGGACAGTCTGGGCACTGTTGACTACGGCTTTGCCAGCGATGCGAGAGTGAGAGGGAGGCCCGACCCCCGCGAACAGCGAGAGCGTGAACATTGCGTACACCTGCTGAATCCAAGGGCATATTGGTGGCACGAGGGCCTGGAGAAGGGCGGTGAGGTTAGCAGAGGTGACGGGCAGCAGTTTGTATGAAGGCCATTTGCTCTACGCGCAGCATGGTAGCCTACATCGTCAAACATGATGCATCAAACGCCCCTCGTGTGACTGAGTTCCTGAAAGGTAAAAAGCCCACCCAAACCAACATCTTGAGACATAAGCATGACATGAAACTGTGGAGTTGAACTGTAGCTCTAAATCCACAGTATCGGTTGGTCTGATGGGAGAGTTGCGGCGATTCGCTCATGGACGAAACATCGCAGATGTGCGTTTCCAAAGCACACTGATAGAATGCACCACACTTTGGACCAGCGCAGGATTCAGGATTTACCCAACAGCGAGGACATCTAACATATCCAAGGATGGATGCATGACAGCTCTCAACGTGTCGTTTTCGACTCACTGGAAGTAAGATGTGTGCACGAATTAATACCAGGCAGACTTCTTGGACTTAGAGTTCAGCGGGACGGAACTCTAAACCGAGATCTTTACATGTTGAACGGATATGATCCCACCAATACTGCCCTGCCCCACACCATGCAGTCGTGGCTGAACGAGGTAGGGCTCGTAGCGAGAACCGCCAAGCTGAAGAAATTGCGCTCGAGGCTAGCATCAGACAAGTACCGCAGATGTCTTCATTAATCTAGTGTTTGGATGCGAGCGGAACGGCTACCCCAGACTTGCCCAACGTTGGGTACGCAGGAATAGACAGACACCCGAAAGGAACCAATACGAATGGTGGTAAGTTTCTCTTTATTCTTCAGAATACTGGCATCACAGAGTTGAACACATGGCAGCCGAAAAGGTAATTAAGGTGCGTGGTTACAGACTGATTGCAAGACATGAAACCATATAGATGACAGATAACGAAGACGCAAGGAGATCATGGAGACATTGCACAAGTTGTTTCGTTCTTTACCGGTGAGCTCGGGAGTGTTTCGAGACCACCGACTTATCGAGGCCAACATGCCAGTCCGGCTCCGAAATAAGAGAGCACGGAATGAGCAGCCAGTTGAGTGGAACAGGGATCTGAGAATAAGCGACCTTCGCACCCCCCAGGCAGCAGATGAGGACGCAAGCGTACCACCTCGAGTCATTGCATTCCGCGGCCACCTACGTCTCGAGCTGGAAAGACGAGGGGTGCGTGCGCACTGGCGAGACTCTGAATACGGAAACGAGAAGCAATACACCACGACGCCCACGTACGTTAACTCCCTCGAGGCTGCTGTGGTGGACTTTGCCTACCCCTTGCATGTTCATGTCAGTAAGGCAGCATCATAAAAATAACTCTGGAGGAGAGCGTTATAGCCCAAGTGCGTCCTGAGCAGTATTTCCGGCGCGTGATCTCCAGAGTCTTGGACAACAGCTCGTGTCTCTACAACCCCAAGTTTGTTTGAAATCAGGAATGCGGCCAAACTTGCCAAAAAGGCAATGGGGT